ATATATATATATTTTTTTTTTTTTTTAAAGAAAATTGGTACCATATATATCGTTGTGTGTGTGTGTGTATTGTGTGGTTCCCCGTAAGTTAAAATGTACAGTTGCACAGAAGTCTCCCAACCGTACGTAGGTGATAATGTATGAATAACACAAATATTTATGTATCGAATTTTGGGGACGGCGGCAAAGAGTACGTGTCAAACTCTATATATTTTTTTTTTTTTTTAAAGAAAATTGGTACCATATATATCGTTGTGTGTGTGTGTGTATTGTGTGGTTCCCCGTAAGTTAAAATGTACAGTTGCACAGAAGTCTCCCAACCGTACGTAGGTGATAATGTATGAATAACACAAATATTTATGTATCGAATTTTGGGGACGGCGGCAAAGAGTACGTGTCAAACTCTATCACATGGGTGATGTTGATTGAAAACACATAAAACAATTAAAAAGACAAAAAAAGACAAAAGAAAAAACCTCCCCTAATAAGCATATGATTGTGATTGATGATCTAGGGATTTGTTTTTTTTTCCCTTTTTGATAGAATCTAGGGAAAGGTTTGGTTTTTGACGATCAAACTGACCTTCATCTTTATGAGAGTTTGATCCAAACTCTGGTTTGATTCTTCAATGATTTTGATGTCATTAGAATCGAGAAATATTATTTCGTGGTGCATAAATCTTAAAATTTAAAATATTTTGTGATTTATTTTTACCATAAACAATAATCTATGAAGAGTTGATTATCCAAAATGATAAATGATAAAGAGAGGAAGAGATTAGGATTTAGAAAATATATAGTTAAATATCAAACTCACACGAACCAATCTTATCATTATTATTTCTAATTTAGACATTGCCACGATCTTCAAAGTAACATATAAATTAAGAACAAAATGGTTTAGAAAATTCCAAACAACAAACTTTTAAATTTTTAATCTATTCTCGTTTAACAATAGAAAAAAAAATAATTTAACTCAATAGGAATGAAAATTTAACCGTTCCTAATTATGTTTATCTGCACGAGTTTTTAATCTCATTCATGTGTAAGAATTTTTTTTTTTCCTTATTCTAGGAGAGAATAGTTAAAGATAGTGTTACTACCACTACTTTTGTTTGGAAGAGAGAAAAAAAAAGGTTCAAAATGGGAGGAGGAGCTTAATTTCTAATTCTCACTATTGATGACCTAGTAACATCATAATAAATATCAGTTCTAGTGTTATCTACACTTCTCGGCTCAATAATCTTGGAAAGCAAACTAACCAAAAAGCTAAGTTGTTTTGCACATGGAAGGAAGAGCACTAGAGCTTAACATTCTAAAACATGAGGCCATATATATTTTTCTGGTCAGTATATAATATATTGCCGGCCTAAGAATTCCTCTCACAAATCACATGGGTGGCTGGGTTTTCTCAGCACATGGATATTATTGGAATAACATGAGGTATAGGTCCCGTTCATTTCACCGATTCGAGTTTAAAATTTAATTTTTGCTACAGTAAAAAACTTTCATAAACAGTCATATCTAACTTTTTTATTACAGTAAAAAATTTTCACATAAAGTCACATCTCAACTCGAATCAGCTAACTACACGGGCTCATAGTTGACACGTAATTTAATTCATTGCATATTCAGATTATCGATCGGGGTTGCGTAGCGGCGAATTGGAACGACTTATTAGGACGTTATCACCAAACACTCAACAATCGATTTTCAAC